CCTTTGATAATTCCTGATAGTTATCGCCTGTGGAACCCCTGGGAGGTCGATGCCCCAGGCGGTGGACATGAACAAATGCAAGCCCCCCAGTCTTGCCCTGGCAGCGCGCAACAGGGGGGTAGGGTTGATGAGGGCGGCCTTCTGGGAAGGCAGGGAGCTTCTCAGAACGATAGGGGGGGCGGACAGCTCATGGGGGCACCATCGGCCCAGCATCTCCGATACACCGCCGACCTATCGATCGGCGATAGGCCCCCAGTAGCGAGCGAAACCGCACGTCCCTGTGCGGGGAAGGCAATCGGGCCCTTATCGGCGATCAGTGGGCGTTCGGACGTCGATGCGCCTCCTCCTGAGCCTATCCACCCCATCGTCGCCCCTGCTTCCATGAGAGAAGCGGGGGTCCACTTGGAAGGCGGCACCCCCGAACCCTGAAAGGTCTTTAGATCGGGGGCGACGATAGGGGCCCCTGCCGCCGCCTCTGATGTAGAACCCTCCCACCAGGAGGTAGCTAATAATTGTCCGGCGGCCTTATTGACGGACTGAGGTCCCATCAGTGGGGGGTACCTATTTTTGTCTGGGGCACCCGCCGCGCAACAACGACGACGACAACTGCGACGATGCGGAGGAGGAGGAGGAGAGGGAGGAGGAGGAGGAGGAGGAGGAGGAGGAGGAAGAGGAGGAGGCGGCGGCGGCGAACATCAACTGGTTTTCGACCGATGGGCGGCGTGGGCGCGCTGTGGCCCACCGATGTCAAACAGTGGCCATCCCTTGAGGCCCCCTTCATCCAGGACGTATGGCTGGAACAGGGCGGAAGTTCAACTGAGACGTGACTCAATCAAAATGCGACATACGAAACTGGCACACATGGCGCAAACGACTGAACATGACGCACCGACTCCGTGACAACGAGTCCTGGGCAGGACGCGCTGAATCCGTGACACCGGGTCCTGGGCAGACCCCCCGTTCCTATCGAGACGCTTGGCACTAACCCTCGCCCCTCGTGCTGGTGCGAGGTGGGCGCGAGTGACTGACCATGACAATTGCAGGCGCATCAGACAACGCAAAAAAACAAGGAGCACCAGCGAGAGACAAGGCAAGCCCCGTCCTAGGCAAGCCGCGTGCAAATTCAAAGGCCATCGCACAGCAAAGATCCGGCTCACATTCACAGGCAATGCGAAACTACGCTCCCTGCGGTCTTCGACCTCTCTGCTGACGTGGCTGCTCGGAAGGCTCCCAACTTCCCTGGAATCGACTTCACCCTCTCTCAAACACAGGTCTGACCATAACCACCACTGCTTGCCTCAGCAACATCAATCGTGCCACTTCGCTGCTCAACATGGTGCACAACAATCACCTGCGATGCCTGGCGCTGCGAAGCAGCCTCTCTAGACTGTTCTGCATAGTCCTCTCCTGTGTGGTCTTCGGCGGCGGGCCAGGTGTGGGCATGCTGTTCAGCTTCAACAATAGGCTCGTAACCACGCCGCTCAAGGGAACCATGAACCCGCCCACGCCGCCGAGGTTGGCCCACGCGTTGGTGAAGTAAACGTGGCGCACCTGCATCTTGTTCAGCGCCACGTTCTGCTCCGCTTACACTTCCTTGACCCTCCAGTACTTGAGGTACCCCGCTGCTGCCACCATGGGAAGCTGTTTCACTTTGGTCGCGAACGCTGTAAAGACTTCCATCTCGTGCTTCACGTCGTTGTCCTGCTGCAGCTGTGCGTTGTTGGCGAGCGCGTCGGGCATGGTCATGCTGATCACTAGGCCAGGATGGCCCTGACCGTGGTCCGTGGGCTTCTCCTTGGCGGCGTCCATGTACTGGTCGATCGTCGCGACTGCCAGGGCGCTCAGCTCGCATCCCAGGGGAAGGAGGTGCGTCAACATCAGCCAGCCCTCGAGCGCTCTGGTGCGCTGCGCTGTGCTCTGGTGCGCTGCGCTGTGTTGAGCTGGTTCTTCAGCATGTCCGTGGCCGTCCCCCCGTCCGACTCGTCGGTGCCCATGGTCGCTGCTCTTCCAGTCGCCGATGTGGCAGCTGTTCGCTGCCGTCGTTGGTGTTTGGGGCCTCGTTCTCCGTTGGATCCACCGCCGAAGGACATCATTGGAGAGTCCGTTGCCAGCCGCTGCTTGGCCTCTGCCAGCTTCGTCGTGTCGACTGCTGGAGCCCACGCGGCCATCTGAGGTGAAGACAACGTGCGTTTCTCGCGGGAGGCCTACGCGCGAGCGAAAATGGCGTTGTAGCGATGCGGGAGAACTGTGCCCTTGACCACGCGCAGGGCAAGATAATGATGGAGGCGACATAACATCAGGATGAGCTGGGCTCCGATCGCAGTGGCAGCCACTGTTTAGGACTAATCGCCGCGCGTGCTGTGGCTCTTGTAACTAGGCGGAGGAGGAGGAGGAGGAGGAGGAGGAGGGAAGAGGAGAAGGAGGAGGCCTGGGAAACCCCAGACGAGAGCTGAGACGCCCACGTCCGACGCTGCTGGGGCACTGCGACTCTACTGGGGCTCTCCCCCTCATAGCCACTCGGCCGCCTCCCCCTCGGGATCCCGAGGGGCGGCGCGAGGCTCGCCGACAAAAACGCTGCTGCAGGGGGCGGCCTCATGCCCGGGGCTCCGAGGGCACGTAAGGACCGCGCGCGCAGGCCCTTTCAGAGCCTGACCCCTCCCCAGGACCGTGGGTAGAAGGACCCTCCTCCCGCCGCAGCAGAAAAACTGTCATGCACACTCTTGACAGTATCCTGCTCTTCCTCCTGGCGCACAGCCTCAAGGACAGCTCCAGGGCCCCCCTCCCGTTTTGGGCCGAGCCCCTTCGCGATCCCGGCCAGGTTCTATCGACCCCTGGGCGTGCGACCAGGGCAGGGTCTTCGGATTTGTCGAACGTCGACAGTGGCGAACCTGCCGCACTCGTGACAGACGCGCAGGGCAAATAGCCCCCACCAATCCATCCGATGGGACTCGTGCACATCCTCGGCCACACCAGGTCGCAACTCCACCTGCGCTCTCGCCCTCGGGGCCCTCGCCTCCACCACCGCGGGCACAGGCGGAAGCACGCGCTGGGAGGCACAGAAATCGAGGATGGAGGAGGAGTGGGTGAGTTGGAGACACACGCCGCACTGCCACTTAGGACCGACCATCCTAAGCATGCAGGCGGACCTGGCAATGGCCTCCCTCCTCTCCGTCATCCGGGGCAGCCTAACTCGCGCGACTCTCTCGGCTCGCTCAGATTCGGCCTCGAGGGACAGCTGGAGAGCAAGGCGCGTGCGGCGCTTCACCAGGGCCGCTGTGGCATCCCAGAGGTCACCGTGCGCCGCCTCGTGCACGACACCCCTGTTCCACGCCAGCTGCGCGCCCATCCCCGCCCCCACATCAGCAGCGGCGTTGCCAGCAGCAAGGAAGCGGCCTTTCTGGGAGGCCAGCCTCATCGCGCCCAGCTGCGCAAGGGATGGGATGTCCACTCGAGCTCGACCTCGCCGCCTCCTCTGCCCCGAAGGGCCCGCCGAATTCTGTGCCACCAGTGGGACCGCCCGTGCTCCTGCGGGACCGCCGCGGCCGGGCCCCGAGGAGGGCCTGGTGGTCCGTGGCAGCAAGCAGGGTGCCCGCCGTGCCCTCCAGGTGCCATGGCCAGGGCCAGGGTCTCAGCCCGTGGGGCGGACCGGCGGTGGCCCACCAAGGGCCCGACGCCGATGGCACCCTGGCGGCGCCAGTGTTCCGAAACGGGGCACCAGCTGACCGTGGCGACCGCCGCTCCGCAGAGCCGCCGCGCGGGTCGTCAGAGAAGCGCCCCCCCGATCCGTCCCCGAGCACAATCACCCGCCCGGCCTCCCCCCGATAGTCGTCCAGCGCCCCGGCTCCGAGAGACAACGCCAAGCCCTGAAGGGCCTTCGCAGAAAAACGCGGAACCGTGAGGCTCTCAGGGGGCAGGCCACGGAACCAGAGCACTGGGTCGACGTCAAGGCCCGCAAGGGCTTGGGCAACTAAGGCGCTGGACTGCCTGAACTCAGGGTGCTCATCAGAACGCCTTGCGCACTCCCAGATGCGATGCGCCAGGGTCTCTGGCGCCTCCTCACAGCGCGGTCAAGTGGACTGCACGAGGTAGCCAGCCTCCCTCTTGCGCGTGCGGGTCCACTGGCCCCCGCTCAAGACAGTGGCGTTGAGGCTCCAGTCGCACCACCTGCCCTGCTTGGCGAAGCGCCGCTGCTCCCTCAAGATCATGGTCGGGTCCGCTCCGCCCGCCACGTTGTCGCCGCTCTCGTAGGCAACCGCCTACTTCCAGTACTGCTGCTGGAGGTCCTGCGTGGCGTCGTGCAAGATCGGCCGGCGGTCGATGAAACTGCCGAAGGCCTCGCTGCCGCTCTGGACGTGGTGCCACTCCGTGTAGTCGGCTCCTGCCGCCCTCGACGCGTGGGCCCTCCAGTCACCGTCGTGCTCTGGTCGTATTCAGCAGGTGGCTGAGGTCGCCTCCCAGCTCATGTCCATGAGGGCCGCCTGCACCGCCCCCAGCAGCCCCCGCACGCGGCGCCAGCGCTGGCTCCTGGCCGCAATTAGTGTCTGGCGGATCCTGCCCCAGGCTCTCTCGATACGCGCGTGCAGCTCGGGTGCCTGCTCCCAGAGCGCCAGCCAGGACTCGATCACCTCCAGGCGGATGGCGACGCCAGGGTCGCTCCCGACTGTCGTGGCCAGGAGCGTGGTGAGGCAGAGGAGGAGGGGAAGGAGGAGGAGGAGGAGGAGAAGAGGAAGGGGGAGGGGGAGGGGAAGGGGGAGGGGGAGGGGGAGGGGGAGGGGGAGGAGGAGGAGGAGGAGGAGGAGGAGGAGGAGGAGGAGGAGGAGGAGGAGGAGGAGGAAGTTTAGGTTTTAGGACCAGTCGTATTCGCCGCCGGGAGAAAAGGTGTGGGGTACCAACACTTCAGACCTTCAGCGGTCAACCCTACCCCCTGTTCCCGCGCCGTCAGCAGCTCTCGGGGCGGGCACCGGCAATCTCTTTGCAGCGGCAGCGCCCCGGGCCGGCGCCTGGACGCCCCGGCGCTGCCGCTGGCCGCGGCCTCTGCGGTGCCCCTGGGAAATCCCGACGGCGGAGCCGCGGCCACGCCTCGGGCGCGGCCTAACCGGCCCTTCCCTGACGAGCACCTTCTGTGACGGCCCCCTCGCCCTCCAGGCCTCCCCCTTGCCGCACACGCAGGTCTCGAGGCGAGGCGAGGGGGGCGCCATGGAAGGGGGTAGTCTGCTGGGGGTCGGTTAGGCCGCCCCTGAGCGCCCCTGATGGTGAGCGGGCCAGACACGCTGCACTCCACGGCCGCGTCGTCTTGCTCCTGGGCCGACTGGGAGGCCGAGGGCAGCCCTGAGGAGGCGACGAGGGATGGGCAGTGCGCGGAGCGAGAAGGCTGTGCCACGTCTCGCCCTCCCGGGAGCCCCCCCCCCCCCGGCCTGTTGAGCAGTCTCTTGGGCTCCCGCTCAACCTTCGGCCGGGGGGGGGGGGAGGGGAGGGGAGGTGACGAGATCGGTCGGGGTGGGGGCTCTGCAGTCGGGGGGGGAGGGGAAGCAAGTGGGAGGAGGGGAAGGGGGGGAGAGAGTGCAGGAGAGGGGGGAGGCCAAGCAAGCTCCAGCATGGCGTCGACTTCCGCGCTGGCGGCGGCCAGCTCCTCCGCAGTGAAAGTCCTGGCCTGCTTCCCTGGCGCGTCAGCCGCGTCTAGGCCCTCTTGCTCCTGGAGGGCACACCACATATACATGCCCCATCCTGATGTTGCTGCTGCTGCCGCTGTTCCTCCTCCTCCTCCTCCTCCTCCTCCTCCTCCCTTTGCTACTCCTCCTGCTCCTCCTCCTGCACCTCCTCCTCCTCCTCCTCCTCCTCCTCCTCCTCCTCCTCCTCCTCCTCCTCCTCCTCTCTCTCCCTCTCGCTTTCCCTCCCTTCCTCCCCCTTCTGCCCCAAGACCCCCTACACTTCCGGCTGCAAAGCGCACCCTGCCGGTCTCGAGAGGCGCAGGCCGGCCTGAGCCAAAGGTACCGCCGCGAGGGTGACGCGCCGTTCCCTCGCCGCGCGGTGCCGACAGGCGACGTGGAGCATGCCCGGAGGCTGGAGCATCCCGTCGGCGTCGACGTCGACGCGGGCGTCGTCCTTGCGGCGAGCCGTCGCCGAGAGGGCGCAGCCGAGGGAGGCAGGTCGGGTCTGGGCCCCCAGGTTCTTTGGAGCATCCCGCCAGACGTGGCGGCCCGGAGCGCAAAGGTCGGGCGTTGCTTCACGGGGGGGCGATCAATCGGGGAGTGGAGAGAACGCGCACTTCTCGTACTTGCCCCTTCTGGACCCCAGGGGGCCCCTATAGTTAGAGCACGAGAGGTGCACCTTTCTTCACCATCCCATGTATCGCCCCCCGATCATGCAACGCCCGAGAAGGCCAACGAGGAGGTGCTCTGGCGCGAACGGCCTGAGGTGGCAGATTAGGCCCTGAAACGTGCGGTGGGGCAGGCCGCCGCCTCAAGCATCGGGGTCAAGACGGATACCAAGGAAGAACTCGGGCAGGTGGATAATGGATACCCGGAGCGTGCAACCTCTGGCGCATGTTGCCCTGTTTCCGTGTACCTGACGATAGGGGAGGAAGACCTGGAGGAAGGGCAAGAGTTCGAGGTGGACCACGGAGTTGCGGCTGCTGTTCCGCCTTCAGCGGCCCCGCGGGAGCAGAACCTCGAGACCAAGAGGGCGATCTAGAGCAGGTTGGAGGACCAAGTCAAATTGCGCATGAAGGAAGAGACCAGGTGGAAGTCCCGACGGAGCACGCGGACCTTCGTGGTAGGGCCCAGGGAGGGGCGGGTAAGGGCATCGCTGCCACAACTCCCCCTCCTCCGCGTGGCACCAACGGCCAGGCTAAGGGAACCCTCCGATGCCCCAACCGTCGAAGGCCATCAACTCCATGGGGAAGGAGATCGTGCGCCGGGCGAGTGCGATGGCGGCGGAGGAGACGAAAGAGAGCCAGTCGCGGCGTTCGAGGACCTCACTGAGGAGCGCGTGTTCGATTTCGACTTCGCGCTCGAGATCGGCAACGCCCTGACGAAGACCGGGAAACAACTGATCAATTTCCATGGGGCCTCGAATCGGTTGAGGCAGCGGTCGAGGGATTTGACCAGAGACTGTATCAGCTAGACTATGGAACAATGTTTGACAGAAGCGGCCGCTGGTGGAATGTGGGCTGCCGAGCGGCTCGTGTCCCATCGAATGCGTAATGGACTTGAGGACACGAGAACTGCGGCATCAGCTCGTTTCCATCGTGTCGTGGCTCAGCGCCAGTCCGCATCGGAGCTGACCAAGGCAAAGGACCACGAGGCGAAGGGGATGCAGCTGCAGCGCGTCCTATTCGAAACCCTCTTCAATCTCAATGAATCAGCCGACCCTTCGGCGCATGGAGGCTGCAGTCGTCGCCGTCGTCGCCGTCGCCGTCGTCGTCGTCGTCGTCGTCGTCGTCGTCCTCGTCAAATTGAAGAACGAGGAAACTGGGCGTCGCAGCTGAGTCGGAGGGAACCCCTTCCCTTTCTCTTGTCCCTGCCCCCCCCCAACGGGGGCGGATCAGAAGACCGCTCCCGCGGGGGCCCCGGCGGGTCCAGGGGAAAGGGGGCGTCGGCGGGGGTGCCGGGTGAGGGCCCGCCTTCGGGGTCGGCGACGCCAGCCGTAAGGTCTTCGGAATGCCAAAACGAGCTGAGCAAGCCACTTCGACGCCCGTGGGATCGTGCACCCCGGGCGTCTCCAGCGGACTCCGCCTACTCTCTCTCTCTCTGGCGCGGCGGGTCGGCGCGCTGGAGACGCAGCTCAGCACGGACCATGCAGCGACGCGAGCGCTTGCCACATAGTCTACTCCGCCTCCAGCATGCTCCAACATCTCTCCGGGAATCGGCACTTCTTCGTGCCTGTCCCCCTCCCACCCCCCTCCTTCCTCCTGGCCCAACGTTCGAACCCGCAGGGCGTGGCGCGCCCCGCGGTCCGCCATGGCCTGTGGTGCGATTGCGCTCGCGAGAGCTCGCTCGAGAAACAGGCGACGCCAGCATTCCAGGTACGTAGCAGCACCTCTTCCTCCCTCCCCCCTCCCTCCCCGCCCACCTCCCCCCTCCCTCCCCCCCCTCCGCTCCCCTCCTCTCTCTGTCCTCTTTCCCTCCTCCTCCTCCCTCCTCCTCCTGGCAAGCGGGGGCGAACACCGGCCAGGCGCCCGCTATCGCCACGCGCCCGCCGCCCCATCGCCTCCATCCTCCTCCCTTCTGCCTCTCCTGGCCCGCCCTCCCTCGTCCCCCCCCCCTCCTCCTCCCTGCTCCTCCTCCTCCCTCCTCCGCCCCCGCCGCCGCCGCCCTCTACCCCTCCTCCTCCCTCCTCCTCCTCCTCCCTCCCGCCCCCGCCCCCTCCTTCTCCTTCTTGGCCACGGAGGCCGCACGCGGCGCGCGCCCTTTCGCGGCTCCCTGGCTCCGCGCCACGAGCGTCGCCGCCTCGACCGCCCTCGTCGTCGCTGTCCTCCGCCGCAGCCCGAGGATTAGGAGGAGGAGGAGGAGGAGGAGGAGGAGGAGGAGGAGGAGGAGGAGGAGGCGGAGGAGGAGCAAGCAAGCAAGCACATCTCGCGGAGTCACCCGATGGCCTCGGCTACGCATCTAAACCCCGGACGGCCACTTAGGACTCTGAGGGGGTGGCCAGCCACCAACGATTGTATCATGCGCCTTTCGGCGAGTTGCACGATCCCGCGCAGCAGGCACAAGCACAGACTTGCACTCTCCTGGACACGCAGTCCCAATGAGGGAGCAGCCATCGGGCACGATGCCCGCGCCTGGATCACACATCGAATACTTTGCGCTCAAGCTGGCTCAAGCTGGCTCAAGCTAGCGATGCCCACAAGGAGAAATGCCCCGCCAGATTTCGCTTCGCTTCCCGGAGAAAGAACTTAGCGCCCATACGATTTCCGAGAAGTGGTGGGCTGCTCGACAGGGCGCGCAGGGGGCAGAGTGGTGACAGACATGGCAGGGAGGTCGGGCTGCTCAAACGACTGGACTTGGCCCGTCGCTCTCGCTGCTGCAGCCGCCGAGACCAGCCCGCTCGATGCCAATGCTGCAGGTCTCTCACTGGTGGCCATAAAATCACGAGCAGTCCTGCGCCTACGCGGCGATCGGTGTCGCTCACTAGGCGGCGGGCGGGCTGGCTCAGGCGATGAATCTACTGTGCGCCCTGGCCGCCGTTCAGAAGCCTCGAGACCTCCCTCTCGAGCGGCCCCCTGGGCGCGGCGTCCGTGAGGCGCGTGCCGTTCGCCTTATCGAACAGGCCGTGGATCGCCTCGGAGACCTCCCCCGGCATCCGCGTGCGAAGTGGTGCAAGGCCCAAGTGAAGTGCGCCATCTTCGTATCCTCCTCCGGGCCCTTTCGGATCTTCAGCTTGGAGACCCGCACCAGCTGGCCCATCTCCGTCGAGTCGAGCTGCGAGATCATCGTGAAGACGCTGCGCAGCATGTCCTGCAGGACCCCGCCCGCGTATGTCCACGACCCCGTCGAGAGGAAAGCCGCGCAAATTTGGATGTGCGGGCTGCCACGGGCCCTGCAATCCACCTCGCTGCCGTTCTTGACCGCCTGCCGCAGCTCTTGTTTTTTGTCGTCGTATGGTTTGCACGCCTTGGTGCGCCCCTCGACCAGCGGGCAGCCCGCCCGTGCCATCATCCCGTCGTCGACGGTTGTCGCGACCTCGGCGAGCTCGCGAGAGCTGGCGAGGAAGAGGCGCGCCGTCGTCGCGACGAGGGCCGCCGCCCGCGCGCCCTTGCCGCTGCCCTTGCCATTGCCCTTGCCCTTGGTCGCCACCGCCGCCGCCTCTCCACCTGAAGGTCCTGCCGAGCCCGTTGCTCCTCCGCTGCCCGCTAGATCGGCACGATCGGCTCCGTCCTCTCCGCTGCACTTCTTGCGCGGATTCAAAACCGAGTTGCACGACGGAGGCACGGGAATAGCGGCCGCCGGTTCGACGGGCATCCTTCGAGCGGCGCAGGAGAGCCGCCGAGCTAGACACCACCACTGGCAAGCGTTGAGCAACAAGATGGCTGCAGCGCGAATCCAGATCCCATAATTCACCCGATCGCAAACGACGCGTGTGGTCGAGAGGTTCGAGAAGAGGCGCCAACGCACGCCCTCCCCGGGGTGGGCAACATCCGCGGTGCATAGCGGTGAGCAAGCGGCGGCCAGCACACCAACGATCCCTGAATGTGCGCCTGCAGCAGATGCAGATGTTGGTGGGCGCGAGGACCGCCGCCAAGTTTCTCTTGTGGTGGCCAAAGCGAAGATGGTTAAGCAACTGCTTGCGAATGTAGAACTCAGCCACGCAGTCTGGCCCTGGGCATATACAGAAGAAGAGGCGTGGACGCGCTCGCCGGGGAAGCTAGGGATTAACCCGCCCCTCGGGTTGGGGCGGCCCAGGTGGCGGGATCGCCGCCGTGAGCGCCCCCCCCTTTAATCTTGGTTACATCGATAACCCGAAAGTCCGCGCTGGCCTCTAGACTCTAGATCGAATGAGAAGCGCGCGTCCGACGCGAGAGACTCGATGCTGCCCTCGCCCAGGAGGCGCCCCGCAATCTTCAGATCCTCCGCGACCTGTCGGGCCCGGGGGGGAGCCCGCCGAGTGAGCTGGCCATTCGGGGGGCCTGTCCGAGTCGATATTCATGGTGCCGAACAGCGAGATGAGAACCTGCGACGATCGCATGGGGTCCTTAAGCCCATCCTCGATAAACCCGTGGACGACGCATGAGCAATCCCTCCCTGGCCCCCACCATCTCCCAGTGCTGTCTTTCCTTCGTGCTCGAGCTGCGTGCGTGCTCGCCCCCCCCAGTCCGCGGCGCCCCCTCTCGTGGCGATCCTACCCAGGCCAGCCATGCGCGAGTCCAGGACGTCCACGCCCCTTGGGGTCAGAGCGATGGGCCCCAGGCAAGGCAGGAGAGCGTTCTGGGCGAAGCCTTCCAGAAGTGAGCGTTTGTAACGTTTGAATAGCAGCAATGACCACACCCCTCCCAGCGAGAAGAACGCGCGGCGGGCGGCAGCACACCTTCGCTCTTCGTTGTGACCAGCCCCTCGAAGCATTAGGTGAGACCCTGGGTTGCCGCGCCTCCTCCCTGGGGCAGCCTGCCAGCACGAACGAGCTGGCAGGCTTGGTGGGGCGTTTGAAATAATGGGCGCCCGATCCAGAGAAGAACAACAAAAGCTCAAATTTAACAATGTTCTGTGCCAAGCCATGCTCCTCAAGAGCGTCGTTCAACCTCTGGTCGAGGTTCGACAGCTTCTGCGTGCCACGCGTAAACGAGAGGCCGCTCTCGGCCACGCAGATCTCACTCAAATCGTCGGCGTGCTTTAATGCCGAGAGGTCTGCGCGAAGCGGGCCCCGCTCTCCTCTAAGCACCGTCGCCATCGGGCCACTGTCAACGAGGCCCCCACCACGCTTCAAGACTGGCCGAGAAAGTCTGCCAGGACGTGCGCGCGACAAACGGGTCGTCCATAACGCCTCCCTCCCCCGTCTTGACCACCATTCCCCTGGCCTCCTCCTGCATAGCTATAGTAGATAATCGGTATCTTTGTCTGCATAATTCCGTATCCTCAGGCCTGGTATGTAATTGCATGCTAATGCCCATAGTCCCGGGTAGTGCTAGCGAACGCGTTGGTCATGTATTTGAACGCTGTGCAGTGTGTCTGCATAGCGGCCCGCGGACGATGGCTAACAACCTGACCGACCAAGACTGGGTTCTCCCGCCGGCGCCCAGCAACGAATCCGTGAGCTTGAAACGTGCCCTGCGCCGAGATTCGCTTCGCGAAAGAAAGCCTTCCCCGCCACTGCGAGAACGCGCAAGACTCGACGGCCTCTTGGGCCGTGTGTACCATTATTGCGCAGAGCTGCTCCCTGCGATCTGTGCCAGTACACTAGGAATGCGACATGGGCCTTGACCTTGCCGATCCCGACCCCCAGCACATCCAACATATATTCTCGTTGAGACTGCTTTGCTCGTAACCAATCCCTGCTCAACCCTGACTGCGCCAATTTGGAAGAACAGCATGTGCCGGAGCTCCAATGGCATGGTACCGTTGGGTGCTGCACGACGTTTAGGTGCACGTCTAACATAAGTCCTCATGGCCCGAATACTCTGTTCAACCAATTCCCCGCCTCCTTGCCCATCTTGGGCTCATAACCTCCTTCCACTTCACGTTGGCTCCTCCATTCGTCCCACTTGATATCCCCCACCGACATGCCTGCCACCGTGCCCTCTCCTCTCTATACCGACAGCCACTCCTCACACGTAGGAAAGGATGATCGAATAAGCCTGCCGTCCCTGTGCTTAGGACCGAACCGACAGCGGGCAGCCGCACGGCTCGCGCGCATGGCCTCTGCGCGCCGCCCACCACGGAGCGACGTAGCAGCCTCCTCCACTAGACGGCTTCGCTGCTCCTGCACTCGCGCGCGCGGCGGTCCTTGGTCAGCCGCGCCGAAAGGTCCTCACATTCGACATCAATCAGGTAGGTTTTTTCGTGGGAGGCGTCGATTATTTGGGCTCTGATCTGGGATCTGGAGAAATTCCCGTCGTCGACGGCTATCTTCCGAGTGCGACGGCGGAGGAAGGGTACGGGACCGACCAGCGAAATGTTGTTGCCCAGCCCGCACCACCGCCCCCTCGAGCGACTTAACTATTTCGTCCGGCGAAGCTTTCTGGTATAGGAACCTTATTTGGAGCCCCTGGAACTCCCTCTTAGCACCCTCAGGAAACTCCGACCTGCCCGTTCCCCTTCCGCAGCGCTTCCATCATAGCAGTACGGTTCCAGAGCAGCTGGGGATCTTGCTAAGGAGGGTCGCCCCCCCCTTTCCTGCACGGGAGCTCGAGGTGAATGGGGGGTGGTCCTTGGGGGCGGGGCCTCTGTACGCTTGTAGTTTAGTTCCGAAGCCCAGCAGAGGACGACAGCACGTGACCTTATTGCTGAGCCCCCTGGGGTACCCGATGTAGTCGGTACGAATCCCCGAACCACCTGAAGCTGGCGAAATAAAGGTCGGAACAAACCTTGCAGTGAACATGTTACCCGCCAACATGTGGTGAGAGTCCAACAACTCACGGAAACGATGACCTTCCCCTTCACACAGACGTTCGCGCGCCGGGCACCCCACTGCAAGAGACGCAGACACGTGCCACCCATCCCGTCCCCACGATTCCCCGCTTCCACCAGTCAAGTCCGTAGCAATAAACGGGATGCACCTACTGGATATCACCGAGCCAATTTGACATATCCTTAACTACACGCAGGTAGCCTCCTCGAGCAGCACGAGAAGGTTGCGGTGGGAAATACACAAAAAAGAGGCAGACGTCGACGTGCCCTGTCTTCGTGCCGCGATACCTCTACCCCCAGCCCCCGCAGGGCCGAGCCACACGCGCTTGATGCTCTGTTCCGTCACCCCTGGCACCAGGACGATCGAACACCCACAACTCCGATTCGAAAAGGCCTCTGACGTAGCGGGAGCCTCAATAACCTGACGTCCCATGGCACGACGACGAAGTACCTTCTGCTTTGCCTGCCTGCGCGAACGTAGAGTTCCCGCCAGCATGATAAAATCGTAATTACCCGTCTCAACCACCATTTCCTCCAAGCGTAATCCTGTGGCTGCTAGCGGATTGAAGCCCAGAATACGCAAGGCCATCGCTGCAATCCACCCGTGGCGCATGAATCCTGTGGACACCCCTACAAGAGAGTACTCTATGCGGTGTGTCTCGCCCTCTTCCTGAAACAACCCTTGGACCAGGGGGGCTGGAGGAGAAGGAGGAGGAGGAAGAGGAGAAGGAGAAGGATGATGGAGGAGAAGCATGGAGAGGAGGGGCAGGACGACGACGGAGGAAGAAGAGGACGATGGACGATAGAGGAAGGTCAGGAGGAGGATGTGGAGGAAGAGGATGGAGGCGAATGAGGAGGACAACGGAGGAGGAAGAGGACGACGACGACGACGACGACGACGACGACGACGACTGTCCTCCCCCGGACGTCGCGACGTCCCGACCTCGATCAAGGTCACGTGAACGACAAAGATCAAGATGGCTCTGACGCACGGGGTCACGGGTTCTTTACGAGACGACTTACGCAGGCTGCGGGCGCGGCTGGGGCAGCTTGCGCGCGCATGTCTGGGCAGTCGAGCCCCTCCCCTGCATCGCTCGTGTCAGTCGAGATCGAGATGGGAGGCACGTGTCCATCTTGGCAGAAAGACAGAAATTGCCCTCACGCAGGAGCAATCCCTGGTGTTGAGCGCCTTGGGGTTTTCGCACGGTGACCGCCAGGGGCCGCCCGCGCACATCTCGCGCGCTGGCGTGCGAGTCCTGGTCTTCCACCGGTGGCCGCCCATGGCCGCCCCGTGCGCGGCCGTGCGTTGGTATCTGGCCCTCGCTCGGACGTCCATTCCCCGTGTTTTTGCTCGGTCTCGTGCGTGCTTCTTTTCTGTCGCAGGCTGATCCAGGATGCTTCTGCGTCCAGGATGCTGCAGGGTGCTTCCTTTCTCTTTGCGACTGCCTTCGGCCTCGTGCGTGGGTTTTGGTCGCCAGCGAACCCCCCGCCGAGCGATCGAGCGGGACGCGGGAGGCGGGAGGCGGGAGGCGGGAGGCGGGAGGCGGGAGGCGGGAGGCGGGAGGCGGGAGGCGGGAGGCGGGAGGCGGGAGGCGGGAGGAGGGAGGAGGGAGGAGGGAGGAGGGAGGAGGGAGGAGGGAGGAGGGAGGAGTGCACACGCCCGAGCGGTGCCACGGCCTGGGCTGTCGCCCGGTGGCCTCCCGTGGGCGCCCCGTGCGCCGGCGAGGGGTCGCCGGGCTTCGCGCTTCGCCCGCGGAGGCCGCCCGCGGGCGCCGCGCGCGCTGGCTGCAACGCGCGGCCTGCACCACGTACGGTAGTTTCGTGCGGCGTCGGCGTGCGCAAAGGTTTTTGACACCGCGTCGATCGTTCAACCTTGTATCGATCGCGGCCCCGATCGTTCAAGGTTGAATTCTGTCGGGTCCAGTGACGTTACCGCGTCCCTCAGTGCTTCCACGTCGCAAGATTCAACCTTACACGCCGTCGCCGGCGTCGCCGGCGCGCCAACACCGCATGAACCTACCGTAGCCCCAGGGGCTCTTTAGGGATGCACGCCCCCCCCCCCCCCCTAAAGCCCTCGGCGGGGAAGAGAGACTCGTCCCCCCTCCTCCTCATCCTCCTTTCCCTCCCTCCTCCGTCCCCTCCGTCCCCTCCGTCCTCCTCCTCCTCCTCCTCCTCCTCCGTCCTCCTCCTCCTCCGGAAACATTATTGATTTGCCCATTATTGCCGGGGGGTTTATTAAAGACCCTTTGGGGTTAGCTTCCACCGCATGCCTTGCACGACACCCAAGCATCGCTCGGACGTTCATTTCCCGTGCATATTTCGGTTTCGCGCGTGCTTTTTTTTGCTCGATGGTCCAGGATGGTCCTCGATGCTTCTCGCCGAGAAAAGATGCACACGTCCGAGCGATGCCAGGACACAGGTTGCCCGAGACAACTCGCACCAGATGGCTTGCACCGCACAGCCTGCACCACAAAGCTTCAGACACACATATTGCACCACAAAAGCAGCTTCCACCACAAAGCTTGCACATCCAAACGTGCGCAAACTCACTGTGTGGGGTCCACGCTGGCAAACATTGAATGGCTTTCGCCGCTCCTATCTTCTCTCCGAGGAGCCTGGCGCAGAGCGTCCAGATAGACCCCCACCGCCTCTCGCGCCCACCCGCGCTAGCCTCGCCTCTCCAGTCAAGGCAAATTATAATATCTTGGAGTCGTTAATCCCCTAACGACCCAGCTGATAGAAACTCGCTGAGAGCAGACCTTCTTCAGACTGCTCCACTTCACTTCACTTCTTCTTCTTCTTCCCCGCTCTCCCGCCCTGCCGCCCGTTTCGTCCGTGGCAGAGTCCATGCTTTGGTGCACGTCGCCAACCCCAGCAACATTACACTATGTAACAGTGGGAGGAACAACCCTGCCACCCGCCTCGACCCACGTTATGTGACACATTGCGCACCCCTCGCCACTGGCACAGGCCCATGCCTAGTCAACACATACGCTGTGCGTACAGTCGGCCCAAGAAGTGAATCTCACGCATCACCCGATACCCCCGAACGCAAAGCCCAAAAGCAACGGAAATGGTCCACCCTCACGGGGGGTCCTAAACGAGACCAACCGAGGGTCCGAGATGCCTCCAAGTCTGCCCAAAAAGCCGCCAAAACGGCCTGAGATGGGCCCAAGATGGGCCCCCAAGACGGCCCACGAGGCCCCTAAGAGGGCCTCCAGGAAGGCGTGCAGACGCAAGTCATTGATATTTTAAGTGGTTTGTGACACATTGTGGCATTTGTTTTTGTTTGGCCTTCCGACGGCCCGAGACCGCCCAAGCGCCCACCAAGATCGCCCAAGAGGTCTCCAAGATGGCCCCAGAACGGCCGAAGAGGCCCCCAAGACTGCCTCAAGAGGGTCCGAGAGGCCTTGAAGATGCCCAAGGTGGCCTCCGAGATGTCCCTGGAGCATCCCCAGAGGGCCCCAAGTCCGTTCAGAGAGGCCCCCAAGACGGCTTCCGACGGCGTCAGACGGGCCAGGAACTCCCTAAAACAGCCAAAGAGGCCCCCAAGAAGCTCCCCAAGGGCCCCTAGGAGGCCCAAGGAGGCCCCCAAGATGCCTCCAAGAGTCCCCCAGGAAGTTCCCAGGAGGCGCCAAGAGTGCTCCCAGAGGCTCCCAAGATGCCTCCTTCTCCTCCTCCTGGTCTTCCCCGCCATCCTCCCCCAAGAGTTGCCCGAAGGGTTTGCCCAACGGCTGGGCCAACACATGGTCCGATAGCTTGGCAGAGCTCTGACCACAACGTTCGGCCACACGGGCGACTCCAAAGGCAGGGGGCGGCGGTGATTCACCGTAGGCGTCTTCGATACCTAGGTTGCCTAACTTGGCGTATCGCGTCACGAGATGCGCAGTTATCTTTGCGCCCTCGCATTTTCGCGCCGCCCACTTGGAGGCAGGCACTCGCTGTGGCCCAGGCCGCGACGCGCGGTTATCTTCGCAGCCTCCGCGGGAGGGCCTAGATATACGCACACGTTGGGTGGTTTATCGAAGCACTGTGTTCCACGCCAAGCCGTTATATCGACTCGGAAGCAAAACTGCGGAAACGATCGAATCATGAGGCACCCTCTTTTGAACGCTGGCCTCTGCGGCGTCGAGCTTCTGGCCGAGGCCCTCCAGCTCCTCCAGCACTCCCTGCGCGTCCTTCCTGGCCTGCTCCCGCTTCTGCTGGATCGCGTTCCTCATGAAGTTCATGCCAAGAAGCCCGGTGGTGGGCAGGTCGCCGTCCTTCTCTAGGCCCTTGAGCTCCCTGGCCGTCAACTTCTTCGCCTTGGACAGCGTCTGCCTCGGCGGTGGACAAACCTCCCTTTAGTAAACCTCCCCTTAATGAAAACGGCCTGGGACCGAAACCCGCGGACCTGGACTCGCAAAAATGACGGCCGCGACGCCCTCGCGCGAACCGAAAACGACCAATTCCTTAATCGACGTGTCAGGGCAGGAGGTCTATCCACCTCCGTCTGCCTGGCGACCCCGCGACGCTTCGCGCCCTCGTCCTCGGAGTCGCTCTCGCTGAGGTCCACGGCCTCCGAGTCCTCCGACTGGTCCGGGTCCCGGCCGCGGATGGCGCGTCGCAGGGCCTGCTCCTCGTCGTGCGCCTTCTGCGCCTGCTTCGTCATCTCCTGCTGCGCGTTCCTGTCGCCCTTGGCGAACCGGTTCATGGTGTTCGCCCACTTCTTCCTGGCGTTGCGCCCCCTCTGGAGGCGCATCTGCGCGTGCTTCTTCTCGTATTCCTGCTTCAACGTCTTCGCGAGCTCTGGGTTCTCGCGCTCCAGCCTCTCCAGCAGGACCTCCTTCTCTCTGGACTCCGCCTTGCGGTGGATGCGGCGGTAAGTCTTCGACTTGATCTTCTTGATGCGCTTGGCCGCCTGCTGCTCGCGCAGCAGCAGTGACTTGAGCTTGGCTCCTGCCTGGCGCTCCTTCTCGTCCCGTATCTTCGGGTTCGCCGGGAGCTCTGCCGCTCCCTTGATGTCCTTCTCCGTAGCTCCCGCAGCCATCGTCACGGCCTCCAGCTCCTTCTCGAAGTCGTCCGTGGCCTTGAAGGTGTCCACCAGAGAGGCCGTGCTGACTGGTCTGGTGTCCTGGTCCTCATCCTTGCCAAGAATCCTCCGAACCCTCCGATGGGCCCCCATGGGCGCAGCAGACCCGAGCCCACCCTGCCTCAGGCGCCACGGTTCTGGTCGCAATTGTGCTTTGCCCATCGGGTCCTTGCCACTGTTCGAGGTCCAGGAGTCGGCATCATCGAAAACATGTCTCCCGAGCAATTGCTCCGTTGAGTCCCGAGGGTGCAGCCTATGCGATGGGCACCTGTGGAATCCGGTCATGGGGTGGGGCCTTATCGTTAGGGAAGAAGTGTGTGTATACTGTATGTTTATAAAATTCAACAAGTAAAACATACATTTGTATACATGTATTGAGATGAATGCCTGTATGCGTAGATATATGCTGTTCACATGAGCTGTCGTGAGATACCCTGCCGTGTGGGACACTGACGTGATGGACCCTGTCGTGTGGGACCGATCGGGCCCCAACGACACCGAAGGCCCCAGTGGCGATGTTCGCACGCGGCAGTCCCACCCAGTTCGGCACACCTTCACACATTCGTGGCTCCATAGGGAGCTCCACCGAAGGCGATGAACACAACGGCGGTACTCGCACAAGCATATGGTTTGGGTCCTTCGCCCAGATAATTTTGCCCTACGATCCTGTGGTACCGTCCGACAGCCACCGACAGCATACCCAAATCCCGCCTGCCAGGTGCAATATGTCTCAGCAGACGGGTGCCGAGCTCCCGATGCAACTGCTATGGGGGAGTCCAGAGCAAGACCGACCGCAGCTGGGAGCACCATCTGGGGGTGCGAACGATGCAGACTTGCTTACAAGCAAAGTCTCTGCGGATGAGCCCGCGTGAACTCCGGCGGGCGTGGCGCCAGCCTGGCAGGATCACCTGGTCGGCGCGGCGCATCTGCTGGACCTGCGGCATCCACCTCGAGGCGACATTGCAGCTGCTTTCGTACTGGGCCAGCCTCTCCTCTCGGCGGTGGACAAACCTCCCTTTAGTACACCTCCCCTTAGTGAAAACGGCCTGGGACCAAAACCGACGGACCTGGACCCGCAAACATGACGACGGCCGCGACGCCCTCTCGCGAACCGAAAACGGCCAATTCCTTAATCGACGTGTCAAGGTAGGAGGTCTGTCCACCCCCGATCCTCCCGTGTTCTCGCCACCTCCGAGGCTGGCTCCGGGAGCGGCTCCGCCTTCGCGAGGCCCTGCAGCTGCTTGCGGATGTTGCCGAAGCCGGTGGCCTCGGCGAGGGGGGCCAGCAGGTCGTCCACCGTGATCGCCTCGCCGCCGCCCCCGGAGTGGAACTCGGACTCCTCGAGAGAGGGCAATCCGTGCGACCGGGAGGGGATGGTGGCCTTGGGGCACGAGGCGGCGTTCATTCCCCTGCGGCGCCCCACCCCCCGAGGGTCGCCAAATGTCTCCTGGGAGTGAAACCCATCTCCGCCCCTGAGCCTGAAAAATCTCCTGCAGCCCCTATCCCCTCCCTCTGTTATTGACACGATCGTCGGCGGCCATTAGAATTGAAAGGGACAAGGGTGCACAAAGAAGAGCATACGCATACAGTCAACGCGCATAATAGAAATGCACGATGAAGATGCACGGGCCTTGGAAGGCCATGCCGGCACTTCTCGAGCGGGGCGCGGCCAGCGAAAGTGGCCAAGGATGGGCCGAAGGGCAAGGATGCCAAAGGAACCTTGGCAAATCGCTCATCTTTACTATCCTTAAATCGGGCGTGTCCCCCGAAAGGGGAATTTTGGGTAAAAAATGTCGCACATTCAAAAAACACCCCCCAAATGGGCGAAAATAGTCAACAAATCGTCCCCGGACTATGTTTTGCCGATTTAGAGGGACAGGCACGATTTAATACTATCCGTGCTGACTGACAACTTTCAAATCCGCGCGCGCTTATTGGATCGGCGCTGGGCCCCCCTCCCCTGGCGCGTGGAGCGTGCCAGAGGCCGTGCAGGAGGCGCCGCCAGGAGGGTCCAGAGCCGGCCCGAGAAATCCGCACGGACCCGCGAACGTGCATGGTCATACAGATGAGCCCTGGCAGCAACACCAGACATGGCTTCGAACTGAGAAAATGTGCGCAGTTAAAATCAGCAGACTGGCATGTGGCGATTTATCGCCCAACGACACGCTTCGAAATGCCGCCCCGACGACACGGGATAAACGTTTGCGTTCGCGAGTGTGGCTGGCTTTCATAGCAGGGACGCGCAAGGACATGCTAGTACTACGGCCCTCCTTGAAGGCGTGCATCCGGCTCGAGCACACAACCATCGTGTAGTACCTCGTTTTCCCCAGCGGAACGGCCAGAAAGCGCCCGCCATCGAGCGTATGCTGTAGGACTTCCGAGCGCGCGCGTCTCCCCTGGAAGCGCGACGCACACACTGCATCAGTACAGTCGGGCCTCGGCCAGGAGATCCTTCAAGAACATGAGACCGTGTAGGGAAAGGATGGGGGCGACGACCAGCAACGGTTCGTGTCCGGCTTGGGCAGTATTCGCTGCCTGTGTCGCCGCGGGCGCTGTCCGTCTGAGGCACGAGCTCGCGGGCCCAGCAGCGGCCGCTGCCGGTTTTGGGCAGCCTCTGCTGTTGGGCACGGCGCCCAGTTCTGTTCGTACCCGCTGCGGGCGCACCAAGGAGAGGGGGCCATACAACCTGGGAGAAATCGTGGCCCTGGCCACGAGCCGCCAATCCACACAATCCCTCCTTAGAGCCCCCCTCTTGTTGAGCAGGGACCGACCGACACAGCATTCCTATAGGCCTACCACGAAATCTTCTTAGAACCCCAAAAGGTTCTAAGGACAAACGCAATGCCCTTGGAGCACAAAGCCGATGTGTTAAAACAAGGCTGTCTCAGCCAGAAATGTTCTAAGAACATTTCGTTCAGACCATCACATATTCTTCTAACATCCTTTGGTAGCCTATAGGCGAGTCAGTACGCTTCGCCACTGTTCGACTCACTCCCCCTGGACTTTCAACCAGCCAGGCTCCGGCTGTCCCTCGGCGCCGAATGCGCGGCCGGCTGACTCAGCTGGCGGCTGCCCCGCCGAGTCCTTGAGTTTGCCCACTGCGTCAATCAGCCGCCTGCCCGCCTCGTCGGCCTCCGCGTCGCCCTCGTCTCCGCTGGCGAAATCCTCCACAGGGGGGCAGCGGATACACACGAGCAACGTACCCAAAACGCTCCCAGCCCACGTTCAACTGTGGCCTCCTCCTTGGACCCCCCTTCGACAAGACCGCCAGCCCCTCTTCCTCCGACTCTAAGTCCTCCCAATTCTTATTCGTCCTTCTCCACCCCATCCTCATTTTAATTATCATAGTATCTGATCCACTTACTCATACGCCTCCCCCATCTCCTTTTCCTCCTCTCTTCCTCCCCCTCCCTGGTCCTCCCTCCTAGTCATCCCCCCTCCTATCCCTGCCTATCCTCTGCTTCTTCTCGTCCCCATCCCCTCTGCTTCTTCTCATCCCACGGCTTCTACAACTACACAATATGAATACTACTCTCCTCCATCCCCTGATGGCGTGCGGAAGATAGCGGGCACCCCTCCGCGTACTGTTTTTACACACAGGATTTCCCGGAGTTGGGTTTTCGCTTGGGTTTGTTTTCAAAATGATGCTCTCGCTGAGGCGCGGGCTTCTTTTTCGGGCTTCCGCTCGTTCCGAATCGTGCTCCCGCTGCAGCGCTGACCTCATTTCTGTGCTTCCGCTCGTTCCGAATCGTGCTCCCGCTGCAGCGCTGGCCTCATTTCCGCGCTTCCGCTCGTTCCGAATCGTGCTCCCGCTACAGCGCTGGCGTCATTTCCCGTGCCATGCCACGGCATGCAATGCAATGCTAGGTTACGTTCCGCTGCGCGATGCCATGGCTTCAGCTGCAGCTGTCACATCCAGTGCTTAAGTGCCACGTCATGCTATGCCAAGCAACGCTTTGATCTCCAACGCCATGCTATGCAATGCTATGTTCGGGGCCGCTGTGCGATGCCATGCTTTGCGTTGCAAAGCTTTGTGATGCCATTCTTCACTACGCCACGCCATGCCATGCTGTGACATACTATACTTTGCGGTGCTCTTCTACGCCATGCCATGCCGTGCTCTACAATACATCGCGTACCCTTTCGGGATCATTGCCCTGCTCGACATCCGACTGTGCGAGTAGAGAGGGGATCTACGCCATGGTAAGGGATGGGAGGGAGGGGTAGGATGTCAGATATGACGCGAGCGCACCTAGCTTGTCTCATTCCCCTCCCCCCTTCTCGTCTGCCATCCTCCCCCTCCCAAGCCTCCTTCCTCCCTCCTCCCGTCTGATTGCTCCTCATCCTGCTACTGCTCTTCCGCCTGCTCCTCCGATCCTTCAACAACCCCCCCTCTCCATCCTCCGCCTGCTCCATTTCCAGCACACCCCTGTCCTCCCCCTCCCCCCCCTGCCGTTCTCCTCTTCCCCCTCTTCTCGTCCTCCTCCTCCTCCTCCTCCTCCTCCACTAATGCCTACTCCACTCCCTCAGCATCTACCTCGTCCTCCTCCTCCTCCTCCTCCTCCTCCTCCTCCTCCAGTCATCCTTCTCTCATTCTCGCCTCATCCCCTTCGCTCTTGTTCTCGGCTTCGCCATCGTCCTTCTCGTCCTCGCTCCCACCCCGTCTTCTCGTCGCCCTCTTCCTTCGGCTCGTGCTTGCCCTCGCCGCCGCGGTCGTAATCGTCTGCGTCATCCTCCTCTTCGTCGTCCTCCTTCCCGTCCTCCCCGGCCACCCTCTCAAATGGTCGTCCTCCTTCTCGTCGTCCTCCTCCCCTCCTCCTCCTTCCTCCTTCTCGCCCTCCTCCTCTCGAATGGCCGTTCAGTGGGTCGGTTGGCGGCCGATGGGCGCTCCGAGGGGCGAGGCTCTTCCAAGAAGATGACGGTGCGGAGGCCGGGCTCCGCGCCCGTGGAAGGATCCCGTGCACAGCGAGCTCCAACAAGGTGGTAGGATCCCGTGGAGGATCCTTCCACGGGATCCCGTGGTAGGATCCCGTGGAAGGATCCCGTGCAGGATCCCGGAGGCCGGGCTCCGCCCTGGATGGGATCAGCTTCCAACGACGCAACGACGGAGCAGACGACGCCGCCCCGGAGCGAGGTGGGCGACGAGGGCGCCAGGGGCGGCGCCCAAGGCGCCGCCAGGGGGTCCCAGCGCAGATCCAAGCACTCCGCGCGGACCGCCACTACTTGGCGGCGCAGGTCCTGCGCCGCCAAGAGGGTCGCAGCGCAGAGCCAAGAGATGCGCGCGGGCCGCCAACATGTACTGCCTGGTGCAGCTTCTTGTCACCCCGGAGCGTCCGCGCGGGGGTCGCCGCAGCGTCGGCACGGCGCGAGCCTGCCGCGCCGGGGCGGTACGGAAGGAACTGGCGGGGGCAGCGGAGGAATGGAGCTGACTACCTACCAGACCACCCCAACCCAACCCGAAGACCCGAATTTGAATCGAACTTCGGGTTGGGGGGGGTACGGGTTCCATGTGTTTTTTCAGTGTTCCCAGACCCCCCCCCACTGGAAATCGAGGATAAATTTGGGCCTTCGGGTTGGGTTGGGGTGGTTTGGTGGGTGGTGAGGAGCGCCCTGCTCCTGGCCTGCGGGCAGTCGGAGTCACGAGCATCAGACACTTGATCTCGCCTGCGGTTCCCTGCGGCGGTTCTCTCTCTACGCTGGCCTCACTCACGACGCACGCACATTCCGCTGAGGCCACAGGGCCACCACGGTCTCGCACTGTCTGAGTCACCCCTGCGCGAGGCGATTGGGACGCTCGCTCCCTTGGGCGCGTTCTAGCGGGTAACACTGGCACCTGTGGCGACATGAGCAGAAGTGGGCAGCTGTTGCGGCGGCAAATAGCCCGGACACGTGCCAACTTGGATTTAGTGGCAGTGGCACCTGTGCCTTTGAAGTTTATTGTCTCTTGACATGCTCAGTGTCTTTCGCGCCTGTTATACCAGCAGTTGCGGAGGCGGTTGCAGCTCTGGGGGTGGAGCACTCAGATTTTGGTAATGAACAGTGGGAGCGCCCTCTGGGGCGTGCGGTGGGGGTGCTGCGTGGGCCCATCCTTAAATTACCCACTGATGCTGTGCTTGCCCGCTGGCCGATCCACAACGAGGTGATCTCCCTCGCCGTCGAGTTCTTGTGAAGGCTATGAGTCCAGCTGCAAGACGGGTGATTCAACGTACTTTGGGCGGCTTTCCTTGCCTGGGCGAAATTCAAACCAAACGGTCGATTCAAGCGCCCAGGACGCCTTACAATCATCCTTGCCATAGGTATGATATTCGTATGTCGCGTGCTTGCGTTTGATGGTTTACCTTGAAATTAAACAAAAGACAAGGCGGGGTGATTTGCTGCACTGTACAAGAGGCGTATGCGTAGATGGAGAACAATCGCGTAATTTTCTCATATATCACTCGCCACTCGTTTTTTTGCATGAGCTATCCTCATCTGGGTCTAGTCCGCGCCTCGTCACAGCTAGTCGAAGGGCAAATCCGGGTATGAACTCGGCACGTCCGAACACGAGGTATCACAATGCAGCAACGCAAGAAGGTACGATCACACATGTCCACAGCGGCCGTATGCTGACACGCATAAGGTTGGCTACCTGGAAAGTGTCCTCCCCCCCTTGTTGGGCCAGTTCTCCCCCTCCTCCTCCTCCTCCTTCTCCTTACTCTCCTCTTCCTCGTCCTTATCCTTCTCCCCTCCTCCCCGTCTTCCTCCTCCTCCTTCTCTCCTCCTCCTCCCTGTCGCACCCCGAGGCCAGTTTTTAGGGAGGTCCAGGCGTTTCGCCTGAGACTTCCTCAACATTTAGGATCATGAAACTTAAACATTGACACCAACTTCACAGATGGAGGACGGGTCGTTTTCAAACTATCGGTTTCGCCTTCGCGCCCGCGCGCATTCGTTTTAACAATTTGCAATCGCGGATTCAGGGCGGGTCGTTTTCAAAATGTGGCTCTCGCCTTCGCGCCGCGCACATTCGTTGTAAACAACTGCACGAATTTCACGGATCGTGGGCGGGTGGTCTTCAAAATGTGGCTCTCGCCTTCGCGCCGCGCACATTCGTTTTTGACGAAATGTAGAAGCTTCACGGGTTCAAAATGTGGTTCTCGCATTCACGCCGCGCACATTCGTTTTTCTGGTGTTGCAAGGGTTTCACGCGTTTCCATTATTGGTGTACCAAACGTGGAAGAATTCAGGATTATGAGGGCGCAGAAGTTACGTTGATTCGCGGGGTTGAATTCCCAGAAGTGGCGTTCTGGCACGATTCAAAACCGTCAAGACGCAACAGTCAGGTTGATCCGTGACGATGGAATCCCGAAAGCAATATTTTGGCTTGCTCCAGGCTCTTCAAACGGTTATCTTCCAACGAGGCAATTCCCTCAGTGGAAATGAACCGTTGTAGGGGCCTATGACGAGGGAGCTTGGAGGGAGGGGGTAATCCAACATCGTTGATGACTCCAGGGTTTCCACTGGTTCTCCTCCTTCCCCTCCTCCTTCTCCTTCTTCTCCTTCTCCTCCTGCTCACCAGAACTCCCAACGTCGTGCCTCTTTTCGCTGCGTGGACCCCTGAAGGTCCGTACCCCGTCCTTGGGACTGGCTGCCCCACCCGAGCGGTTGTTTCACGGCCACGGGACAGGCAAGGGCCCCTGGAGACCAAAAACTAAGACGAAGGATAATTTCAGATGAGGATGCATCGAGAATCTCTGAGATCTGGCGGCTTTGGAAAATGTCTCGGGCGCCGCGCCCTTCTCAAAGCGTTTTGGAGCGCTCTGAGAACTTTCCGGAAAGCCCTGGAAGGCAATTATCCTCGTCCTAGCCCCGTCAGCATGCAGTGATTCTCTCGCAGCGCGACGGTTCGCCAAATACCATCTTGCGCGTTTTTTTTTTTGCTTGCAAATCTGATACGTTTTTTGACGTTTTTCGGTTCACCCAGGTCAATCCTGGTCGGCGTCCTCCACTGGTTCCGCCGGCCTTGGCGGGCGCTTCTGCCGCCGCCGGCTGGCCCCGACCGCCCGCCTAAGCCTGGGCGCAGTCTCCTCTGGCTGCTCCACCAGGTCGGCCAGCAGCAGCCCGGGGTTCTCCTCCTCCTCCTCCGCCTCGGCGGGGGCCTGCTGGCGCGCCCCAAACACATCCGTATCCGCGGCCTCGAGTGCGGGGCCCCTGGACCGCGACACCACGGACACGCTTTTTCTTTCGCGGGTGCTCCGCGCGAAAGCGCATCCGCGGGATCGCGCCCTGGAATCCAGACCGCGAAGGCGCTGCTCGTGATCTGCTGGCTGTCGGGAAGCGCAACGATGGGGACTCGTGGGCAGGCCCTTCTGATTGAGATTCCGGAGTGGTGGCTGGGGCGTTGGGGGTTGGGCCGGTGTGCAAAACAAAATGGAAAACACTAGAAAAATCTACCCGTCAGCAGGACGGGGGTCATTCGTGGGCCGTCCACGTAGATTACGAAATGGTGCCAATCTGCGTGGCTTTGTAAATGAGCAGGCTGACAGCGATAGCAACCACCATCGCACTAACTCCCAAATCGTTCCGTCAAACTCTAGTCTCTTACACGCAGACCTTGCGCCCGAGAATCCTGTAAGATCCTGCAAGATCCTGCGCCCAAGCCCGGGTCTATGCGAAAAATCCTGCGAGACCCTGCAGGATCCTGCACTCAATCCCGGGTCAGTGCGACCCTGGCCCTGCAGGATCCTGCAAGATCCTGGCGCTCTGGCTGACCCCCGCTTGCATTGACCCCCTCCTCTTGCGCCCCGAACTGAAGGGGCCCCAGGACACACAAATAAATACACACAAATAAAAGGATTCCCCATATTTTCACATATTTTCTGGGTTTCTGTCTTCCCCCCCACTTCCTATATTATCCCACATTTTCCTGGGGATCGACGATTAATTGTGTCTGTGTTTTTTCCCCTCCTGACGAACGCCTGCGTGAGCGACGGGCCTTTATGTTTCCATGCAGCATCGGCACGCCTCGTCACCAAAGCGGGCGGCACTGCCGCCCTGTCTCGGGGAGCAACTTCCCCGACCAAGGGGGCCTGGCGCCCGCGCGCCAGGTCCACGGACCCCTGGGTGCATGCTGGCGCGTGCCCGGACTGCGCCCTGGCCAAGCCCCGAGGCTCCGCCAGCAGAACCCCGCATCGGATCGAAACGATCGGCGATCGAGATGACAGAAATTGGCGGAAGTCAGCAGCCAGGTCGGAGAAGTCGAATGGGCGGAAGTCGGCAAGCTAGGCCTCCATTGGCAAGCAGACGCCCACATCGGAATTCGGAGTCGAGCCAAATCGGGATCGGAATCGATCGACATCGAATCGAAGTCCAGTCGGAGGACGTCGGAGGAGTCGAACCATTTGGAAGCGGATGCAAGCTAGGCGGTCCAGAACGTAAGGGATAAGGGGCTTCTGCGGAGGTGCCAAGCCAAACCACCTGAATTGATGACCCCTGATGCAACAACAAGGGCCTAAGTGAGGCTACGTCTTCATTGTGTCATCAGGGTTCGGGGGTCTTTGCATTCTCAATGAACTGTCGTGCGCGAATTAATGGGGAACGATAAATGAGGGGGGGAAGAAGAAGGGTGCCCTTCTCGGCCCTAGAGGCCCCCTTTTGGGCCCCAAAGGGCCCCTCCAGGGGCCCTCGAGGGCTCCTTTTCTGCAGCCCTCGCCACACCGCCATGCGCGGGGAAACCGACAAGTGCCAATGCCGCTACTCCCCGGACCTCTCCTGGGGTGCGCTCTGACTAGAATTTCGAAGCGAATCCAGCGGTGGCGACGAGGGCTTCCCAGGTGGCCCAACAAAGAGGAAAACGGGCAAAGGGTGGCGGCAAGGGTACCTTGTTCCTCCTCTGAATGTATCGCCCCCCATCCATTCGTGCCCGAGAATCATGGGCTCTTGCCCGGTCGGGCCTGGCGGGCATCTTCCACCGGACCCCATCTTGCTGCGCCATCTTCGAGCCAGGTCGATCTGCGAGGGCCCCGGGGGCGAAAATGCCCGTTGTGAGAGCAAAAAGGAAACGCCAGGATCTCAGGCTCCCCCGCCAAACGTCGGGGGTGGCCAAGAGGGGGGCGTCCAAGAGGGGGGGAGCGCAACTCATGGCCAGCGGCATGTGCGCAGCCCATGGGGGGGCCGGGAACTTAGTGAAATAAGAAGGGGCGCCGTGAAATCTGGGGAGATCTCCTGGCCCACGCCATGATATCCACCGCCCCTAGTCATCACCCCCCTCTTTGCAGCCTCCGAAAGCGGGCCGACCCGGATGATGGGCTCTGGCCCGGCTGGGCCTGGCCGGCAGCTTCCGCCCGCGCAAGGCCGCCGCGCTTCTGCCCGGCCGCCCTCCTCCGCCTCTTCGGCCGCCGCGCGGGGCCCGCGGAGGCTGGCTGGGACCGCGGTCGCCCACCCCCCTGGGGTCATTGCACCGGCCTTGCAGACGTGCTGCAGAGGATTTCTGCCCGAAGCGGCGAGCGAAAACCGAACAGAATTTCACGTGGATTTGTTTCAGTCCTCAATCCTGGCCAAAAAAATCCGCACGAAACTCACGTCGAAATCCGGAGCGAATTCTCCAGGACACCCCGGGCCCACCCTATCGTTTTCCGAAAGAAATCCGCTCTGCGATGTGGGCGCCAAGACCAGGGCCAACGTGGGAGGGGAAGGAGGCGGGAGCCACGGCCAAGACTGGACGCGGAAGCGTGTTACGTTTCCTGGATGGACGCCAGGGAGAGGAGGGACTTCTGAGCGAAGAGTGCGAGTGAGGGCGTCGTGCAGCGACCTTGTGGGCGAAGCCGAGCGGACTCGAGAAATCGGCATCGCCTGCTTCAAAAGTCGCTTTCCCTGGGGTCCCCTCTGGATGACCAATCGGCTACACGCAAGAGTAACCCTACGCAAGAGTGAGCTTTAGTTCGGGGATGGACAGACCCCCCTTTAGTAAAACGTGGTTTAGTGAAAACGACCTGAGGCCCAAACCTGGCGGGCGCAAGCCTGGAAAATAACGGCCGCGGCGCCCTCTCGAGAACCGAAAACGGACAATTCACTAATCGACGTGTCACTGTTGGGGGTTCTGTCCACCCCCGAGTCCCTTCTGGATGACCAATCGGCTACACGCAAGAGTAACCCTACGCAAGAGTGAGCTTTAGTGCGCGGCCAAGGGGGGCCCTTTCGGGAAACCACCAGGCGCGCAAGCCGCTGCTGTCGCCTCGCATTCGGCGATCGGGGGGCCCCGGGCCCGCACCGCAGGTCACTCCGGCGACCGGCGAAAAGGTCACTCTTACGTGTAGGCGGACCACGACCAAGACTGGACGCGGAAGCGGCGTGCCGATCTTGGCCATCGGCCAACTTGGTCAGCGTCCACTCCTGGACCGTGCCCGCGGAGTGGCAACGGTCGGCATATGGGCCATGACCAAGATCGGCGTCGACATGATCCCGCGACATCCTGGTCATGGTCAACGTGTTTCGTTCCTTGTGCAACGGGGGAGGCTGGCCCGAACCCAGTGGCGTTCCCGTCGACCGCCCTATTAGGGCGCCCGCAAAAAACGTACGCGTCCAACCACGTTCATGAACACGGCCCCACACTCCGCGAGACCAAGCGCGTGATGCGAACGTCCGCGCAATGCGCACTCTGAAAACCAAGGTGGATTCATGTACGTGTACGTCCCTTTTCCGTCGGGGATATACTGACCCAGGTCAATCCAAACCCGTGTCAGTCAGGCCCTGCAAGATCCTGCAAGACCCTGCAGGATCCTGCTCCCAAGCCCGGGTAACGGTCAGTACACCCCTGGCCCTGCAGGATCCTGAAAGATCCGGCGCTCTGGCTGAACCCCCGTTTGCATTGACCCCCATCTCTTGATAGGGGACTGCCAAGAGGGGGGCGTCCAAGAGGGGGGGCGCAAATCATGCCCGGCGGCATGCGCGCGGCCCATGGGGGGGGGGGGGGCCAGAGGCGTACTGAAATGAAAAGAGGCGCCATGAAATATGGTGCGATATCCTGGCCCACGCCATGATATCCCCCCCCCCTAGTCCCTAGTCGTCACCCCCCTCTTGGCCACCCCCGACCTGGGCCCCGATCTCGCTCCTGAGCATCGGCCCCCAGGCACTGACCCTGCGGACCGCTCCTGGGCTCGCAGACTGGCAGCTTAGCCCGTCCAGGGCCAGTGGTAGTTGGGATGATGCTGCTGCTGCTGCTGCTGCTGCTGCTGATGATGATGATGATGATGATGATGATCGCGATGATGATGATGATGATGATGATGATGATGATGATGATGATGATGATGATGATGATGATGATGATGATGATGATGATGATGATGATGATGATGATGATGATGATGATGATGATGATGATGATGATGATGATGATGATGATGATGATGATGATGATGATGATGATGATGATGATGATGATGATGATGATGATGATGATGATGATGATGATGATACTGATAATGATGATGACGGTGAAGATGATGATGTTAACGATACTGATGCTGATGCTGATGCTGACGCTGATGCTGATGCTGATGATGATGATGCTGATGATGATGATGCTGATGATGATGATGATGATGATGATGATGATGATGCTGATGATGATGGTGGGTCTGCCCCACTGTGTGCTTTTGGGGCCCCAGGGGAGGCACCATTTACCCAGGTCGCCTGTTCTGTTACAGCACCTTCCCTGTTACTGATGCGGCCAGTGCAGGCCGATGGGGGGTGTTAATCATAGAGAGGGTGACTGGGCCAGTGGGACTGCCCCATGGGGGAGGGGGCCCTTGTGGGCCCTGGGCAGGCAGCCTCAGCCATCATTGGATCGGGACGTCGGATCGAACCGAAATGCGCGTCGGACGGGCTGCGTCCGGATGCACAGCAGCCCCGTGCATGCATCGGGCCGCATCGGATCGTCATAAGAGCAGAATCGGGTCGGAATGGCCAGACTACCGAACCTTCGGTGGCAACTCGCGGATGCCTCCCATGCCATCTTTGATGGGAAAAAGATCTTCCACCACCACTCCCATATATAGGACGGAGGAGGAGGAGGGAGGATGAGGTCGTCGTCCTCCTCCTCCTCCTCCTCCTCCTCCTCTTCCTCCTCCTCCTCCTCCTCCTCCTCATCTCCTCCTACCTATGGTGGTGGTGGTGGAAACCGGGCTCATCAATCTTGCTGGCTCCCGCGAACCCGCCCCACCCGGCGCTCGCCGACGCGCACCGGCGCTGCCTCGACGCCCGAGCGATCGGCCCCGATGGGCCCTCTCCGGGAGGGCGAGCGACCGCGGGGGCTCGGGCTCCTCCGGCATCGGCCGGGAGCGCGCGCCGGGGCCCCCGCCCCCCGCCTCCCGCCCTCTTGTCGGCGGGGGCGGCGTGCCGAGGGGTCCTCCCGCGCTGCAGCCGCCAGCGGCTGCGGAGCGGGGGCCGCGCCGGAGGGGCGGGGGTGGGCTCTGGGCCAAGGGTGGGGGGGGTCTTGCGTGACGGGGTCGCCAAGAGCACAGGCGCAGCGGTTCATCCTGTGGCGCACGGCGTGGCAGCCGCGTGGTGATGCCCACCTTCGCAAAGGACCCGTTCTCCCGCATCCGACTAGGGGAGTGGTCGGGGGTCGAGGACAGGGCTGGCGCCGATGTCGCCCAGAAGGCGTCTCGTATAGGGGAAGGCCAGGTCGCCTCGGTCGGCGGCAATGGAGACCGAGGACTCGCTGCTCCGTCGGCTTCCAGGTGAAGGGGGGCAAGGAGGATGTTCTTGTGGAGGAGGATGGAGTTGAGCAGGGACCGACCGCCCTGGCACTCCTGTAGGCCTACCACGAACCGTTCTTCGAACAAACGAATGACCTAACAACAAAAAACCGTTCTTAGAACATGAAGCTGGCGTATAAAGGCAGCCCTGTCTCAGCCAGACATGATCTAAGAACATTTACTGTTTACTACCACCTGCTTTTAGAACATTCCCTGGTGAGTCTATAGGCAGCCCGGGTCGCTTCGCCACTGCCTAATTGAGGAAGCGGGGGTCCTCCTCCGCCGCCGCCTTCAGGGGATAGTGAGAGGTCGGGCATGCCCCCCTACAGGGGGATTTTGGGGGCGAAAAATTAAAAGTAGTAAACAAGTACCCCTAAATGGTTAGACAATGTTCTAAATTATCCCAGTGCGACCCTACCTAGGAGTTGGAACCCCTAGGAAAGCAGCATTAGTAGTAACAGTAACGCTAAGCTAAAGCTAAGCTAAAGCTAAGCTAAAGCTAAGCCACAGCTAAGCTAAAGCTAAGCTAAAGCTAAGCTGAAGCTAAGCTAAATCTAAGCTAAATCTAAGCTAAAGCAAAGCTAAATCTAAGCTAACGCTAAGCTAGAGCTAAGCTACAGCTAAGCTCAAGCTAAGCTAAAGCTAAGCTAAAGCTAAGCTAAAGCTAAGCTAAACGCTAAGCGAAAAGCTAAGCGAAACGCTAAGCTAAAGCTAAGCTACAGTAAGCTAAAGCTAAGCTACAGCTAAGCTAAAGCTAAAGCTAAAGCTCCCAGGGGACTGGGGGGGAAAACCGCTCCCAGGGGACTGGGGGAACCGCCCGGGGCGCTTTCCACTGCCCGGCCCCTTTAAGCTAGAGAGTAAGAACCCTTCTAGGCAGAGCCTAGGTAGGGAAAAAGGGTCCCCAGACTTTTTGACTGTTTTTGAGTACTCTTCATGTAAATGTACAGGCCCGACCTAAGGGTAGTGGGAGGGAGGGAGAACGTCCTGGCGAGGGCAGGGGGGTCACCTCGGGGGCAGACTGCCCGAGAGGCCGAGGGTGAAGATGGTGGTGAGGGCTGGAACGGGAACGCCTCCTCCTCCCCCTCCTCCTCCCCCTCATCCTCCTCCAACTTTTCCTCTTCCTCCTCCTCCTCCTCTTCCTCCCCCTCCCCCTCTTCCTCCTCCTCCTCCCCCTCCTCCCCCTCCTCCTCCCCTCCTCCCCCTCCTCCTCCTCCTCCTCCTCCTCCTCTTCTTCCTCCTCCTTCTCCTCCTCCTCCTCCTCCTCCTCCCCCTCCTCCCCTTCCTCGTCGTCGTCCTCCTCCTCCTCCTCCTCCTCCTCCTCCTCACTCCTCACGCCTCCCTCCTCATCCGACCCCTCACTCCTCAGTCCTTCCTTCCCCTCCTCCTTCTTTTCCTCCTCCTCCAGGCGGGTACGAACACTTTTCAGTCCGCGGGCGCCAAGTGGTCCAAGAAAGTCAGACGCCAGTCAGTAAGCGTCGGGTGCACTCGGAGCGAGTTGAGGCACGAAGGCGAGAGAGAACAGAGCCAGAGGGAGGAGGAGGGAGGAGCCCGCTCAGACCATTAAAGCCGGCGCGGGGGCGCGGGGATGCCGCAGTAGGGAGGGCACGGACACTAGAAGCCTCCCAGATAGGGTCTGAGTAGATGGGGTCGGAGGATCGCGCCGCATCGTTGATACGTCGCCGATGTATCGGAGACGCATCGGCGATGTCGGCGATGCATTGGCACCGTTGGCGTGGACAAAACCGGGCTCCACATCGAGCCGCATCTCCGATGCATCGGCGATGCGGCCCCAGGAAGGGGTCGGGACCCCTGGCGCCGCAGTTGAAAAAGGCACTTCGTCGGATGTCAGGGTATCCGAGTCACCAAACTTGACGCATCGCGCCCCGCAATGCGCGGCTACCTTCGCGCTCTCGCGCCGCGATGCCGCCCGAGGCGGCCTTGACCCCCAAGGCTCTGCGGGAGCCCGACGCCCCACATCACCACAGGGGCCTGTCTTAACGACGTCTCGGCCCAGGACTCATTACCAGTTGATCATCGGAGCGGACAAAGTTGAGGACAAGGATGATGCAAAGAATGAAGAACGGAGTCTGGGATTTGCACTCTCGTACGTTTCCTTTCCGCGCGGCGTTGGCATGAACGTTCGGTTTGGAAGCGCTCGGGTGCGACAGCAACCTGGACACTCTCAGCACACGCGCGCTAGAAAAGAGGCCGAATCTACAAGACAGTGACCAGCGCAGGAGCAGCCTGACCAAACGCTGGCGGTAGGTCGTATCCTCAGCTATTTGCTTGGCGCGATGGAGCCTATCATTGATCTTCACCGAGGCGCCTAGCAAGAGCGTTGCGCGATGAACAGGATTGAACCTCCAGCGATCTCTTTCGTCATCCGCCTCCTCCTGCTCCTGCTCCTGCTGCTGCTGCTCTTCCTCCTGCTACACTCCTCCTCCTTCTCTTCCTCTTCCTCTTCCTCCCTTCCGCTCTAGTTCGTAGTTTCTCCAACACTTCTTCCCGATTCCATTATCCAATCGTTCTAGAACTCCCTTCGATATTTCCTGACTGCTTCTTTACCACACCTTCCCCCCCTGCCCCTGTCCTCCCATAATCCATCCGTGCCCTGCTTCCTCCCGTTGTCTTGTCCTCCGCCCTCCCCGCTCTTTCCCGCCCGCACTTCCCTATCCTCGCTTCACATCTTCCTCTACTCGTCGGAGGACCAGCTGAGACAACGGCAGTACTCACGCCCGACTCGATGATCTACTGACCAGGGTCATTCCAAACCTGGGTCAGGCAGGCCCTGCACGATCCCGCGCCCAAGCCCGGGCAATGCAGCGCTGGCCGTGCAGGATCCTGCAAGATCCGACGCTCTGACTGAGCTCCGTTTGCATTGACCTCCGCCTCTTGAGCCCCGACCGACCCGGACCCGCTCAAAATCGGCCCCGGACCTCTCGAGACGTCCATCCTGACCCGTTGCTTTTTCGAGGCGGACCCAGCCGTGGCGACGAGAGGCAGACCAGCGGCCTACAAAAAGAGGACAAAGAACGCCAAGGATCCAGCATGTGGGGACAGTGGGCCCCGAGGGAAACGGGTCCTGGACCCTTGGGCCTTCTCCCAGGACAGGGCTGAACCTAAACGGTGTTTTTCGTTTTCGTTTTGTTCTCGTTTTCCCTCGTTTTGTCTTCAATCCGCCGTTAACGCAAAACGAAATCGAAACGAAAACGGCCTACGAAATCGCCAAAACACCGTTTAGGTCCACCCCTGCCCCAGAAGAGATCTTCATCCTGATTCGCTTTCTCACAGTCCCGGGGCCCGTGGGGGGCCCCGAGAACCAGAAAGCAACAATACACACCGTTTCCCTCGGGACCCGCTTCCCCCATGGCGACGGATGGCCGCCAACGGCTCGACCACTCCACCCTCTCCTCTAGCTCCTCCTCCCCCCCGCCCCCCTGGCAGAATCCCGCCGCGGACGGGCCGATGGCTTCTGAAGGACCGCGCGACCTCCCAGAGGTCGTGGGACCCAAGTAGAGGAACGAAAAGCGGCATGACTATAAACTCTTGGAGCTCCGCATGGATTTCTTTGATCTGCGCTGGGGCCCCCTGGCGGCGGCTCCAGCACCGCCCCTGGCGCGCTCCGCGTGCAAGGAAGGGGGGTCCATCGAAGACCCAAGAAATCCGCGCGGAGCTCTGAAAATATAGGTTGTTTATGCCAATGCTGTTCTCCGAGATGAGAAAATCGTTTTGCACGGCCCTGTCAAGAAAGAAGTGTGAGCACACGGCTGGGTTCGCTCCACAACCCAATTTTGGAGGGAACGCCTTCTGTGTGCTTCACTGGTGTCACCGTAGCCGTTGCAATTGCTATCGTCGTCGTGGGTGAATCGGTCGGTCGGGCAGGACGCGTCGTAGACGTCGTCGTCATCGTCGTGGGCGAGCCGTTTTTTTCAGGCATGCGGGATACGTCGCCGTCGCCGTCGCCGTTGTCGTCGTCGTCGCTTGCCAGCGGCAGGGGGGAGTTAACCCCCCTCCCCCATCCCCTGACTTTAGGGGGGGGGGTCCGACGCTCCTCCCGCTCCCTGACGTTTCAGGGGTTGGGGCAGGAACGTCCCCTCCCCTCACTCCGCCCAAACGTGCACAAAGGACGCGGTTTGCGTGCTCAAAGAACGATGTTTCACCCTTTACCATATCCGGGGAATAACGAATGACAAAACCATGAACTTTCGCAAGTCCGCGCGGATTTCTTGGGTCGTCGCTGTACCTCCCTCCCTGGCGCACGGAATGGCCGGGATGGTTTCGCGACAAGCAGCTTCACGACAAAGAACAGACATATTCTCGACAAGCAAACCCACGTTCGCCGCCCACTTTCGCCGCCCACTTTCGCCGCCCACTTTCGCCGCCCACTTTCGCCACCCACTTTCGCCACCCACTTTCGCCGCCAACTTTCGCCGCCCACTTTCGCCGCCCACTTTCGCCGCCCACTTTCGCCGCCCACTTTCGCCGCCCACATTCGCCACCCATTTTCGCCGCCCACTTTCGCCTCCCACTTTCGCCGCCCACTTTCGCCGCCCACTTTCGCCGCCCACTTTCGCCGCCCCACTTTCGCCGCCCACTTTCGCCGCCCACTTTTCGCCGCCGCCCACTTCCGCCCACTTTCGCCGCCCACTTTCGCCGCCACTTTCGCCGCACTTTCG